GAAGCAGGAGGCCTAGATGGTACTGGGAGATAGAATTTGGGAGAGAGTCACCAGAACATCTGACACAAGAACTCAGGAGACAGAGGGGATCTGGAATGGTCCAGGGAATGGGGTGCTGAGGAACGAGCCCAAAGCCCTGAGTGGGGACACTTTGTCTGAGGTAGATTTAGGTCAAGATTGTAGAGTGAACTTTGTGATAGCAATATCATCTTTTGAACATGACAAGTCAGCCTCTGAGGAAGCCTTTTGCTGTGAGAGATCCCAAGCTGGCCAGACTCTCCTGGTGCTGAGCCACTAAAGGAGGATTTGGGATAGACAACTGGGCTTGTGGGTAGACCAGAGCTGTCCCCTGAGTCTTCTCTAACCAGAACACTACTCATGCCTCAGCTTGGGCAAGTCTGAGCCACTCGGGGGCCATCACCAAGACTGTTGGGATGCTGAGCCTTGCACCCAGGCTAGAACTAGCCCTTGCCTTCCTAGAGCCCCTGCTGTCCTTGGGTGCCCTCAGGGGCTGGGCCAGGGCTGGATGGCTGGGTCTCCCACGAAGCTCTGTGCAAGTTCCAGGCCTCTCCTCCTGTACTTTGGATCCTTCCCCCAGTCATATCCCCTCCTCCACATCCCTCAAAGAGAGCAGGAAGCTGAGGAGAGGACGTCTTAACCCGCGTGTCCTAGCCCTGACCAGGCCTGTCTGAAGGGCTTGGGGCTGCCAGCCACTGGGTCTGGGCGCCAGTTTTCTCCAGCAGGGTCAGAGCTGGTTTAGAAGCCCTGTGTGGTCCCCTCGTGGGCGAGCTAAGGAATCAGCCTGCCTGCTTCCCTCCAAGTCCCCTCTTGGCTGGCAGGCTGTCCCTTTTCCCTGGGTCACAGGGAGATGTGGGGTTTGGCTAGAGAAAGTGGTCTGGAATGGCTCTTTGACATCATCCCTGGGGGCTTTTAAAAATGAGTTTCCTGGTAAGGAAGACTCCTCCGGCCTTGGGCAGGATTCTCAGTAGAGTCTCCCGGGTTTGCTCTGATCCTTCAAACGCCAGCAGAAACCACCCGGCCGCCTGCATTCCAGCAGTGCTTGGAGCCGTGGCTTCCCCAGATGCAGCGTCAGCAGAATGGAGCAGCCAAGGCATGGGGGTGTTTGTTTGGAGGCCCATGCTAAGCCCCCAGGGTTGGGGGGGCATCAAAAGCGAGCACCCTGGCTTTGCCCTGCTCAATCACAAGCACACATTCCTAGCTTCTCTAGGAATGGCTGGTGCACAAAGTGATGCAAGAGGAACTTGTCACTGAGTCATGACTGACCAGGCCCACAACTGGTAGGTGTGACGTGAGTGTCCAGAAAGTCTGCAAGGCCAGTTGCCACTGACCAGATATAGAACTAAAGGCAGAGTCCATACCTGAAAGGCCTGTCCTAGCTAAGGACTATGAATGTGGATGAAAAGGTTCAGAGCAGAAGAGGAGAAGAAACCAGAGCTGGGAACCAACAGAGTCTACCAGGCCTGCACCACATCCTTGCCCTCTATATTCTGACTGGGACTTTGGACAAGGTTCTAGTTCCATCTGATTTCTTATTGCTAAGTCTGTGAAATGGGCATGGCTGGGAGGTCCAGCACAAAAGTTGCTCCTGGCGTGGGGCTGAGTCTTCTAATGATCTATGTGTTTCCAGTTAGAGTGGGTCTGAGGTGAAGACTCCCACCTGACCACTGCCAGATGTTAGATGGAGAGTCACGGGGGGCTGGAGAGCCAAAAGTTGCTTGGCAGTGGAAAAGTTGCTGAGCTAGCCTTTCTAGGGAGAGAAGCCATGTGGAACAAAGGTGGAGACTGGGGCAGAGGAAGTTTCTTGCTGCTGGAGAGCTCATGAGGATCCCCAGTGGGAGGTGACAACTTGCCTGGGGAAGCCTCCCAGTAGCATGTGCCAGGACTCAGAAGGGCAGGGTGTGCATAGATGACTAGGGAGGTCTGGCCTTCCAATACTTTACATCGGAGGAATCAAGAGGCCAAGCAAGGGTCTGTCCAGGCCGGATTTGCTGGCCTCAGGACTAGTGGGGCTACTGACAGTAGTGGCCCCACTTAGAGGACTGGCCCCACTTAGATGCACTGGGGTCGTCCCTGTGCATCTAGCCTGGCCTCTAGGTCCAGGCTATAAGCTGAAGAGGAATTTTCTTGGCCTGAGAAAGACTGTCAGTTGGCTACAGTAGCTCCATGGATAAATAGACAGGTTCAACTTGACAGACAGTCTGTCCCCGAACTCCAAATTATAGTCCTGGCTTGCAGCCACTTGTCTGCTCTCAAGCTCTTAGTGGAGGCTTGTGCCCCCTGCCCATGTTTTTCATTTTTGTTTTTTTCTAGTATCACAGTGGTTACTGATAGAAGTATATAAAATCAGGGCACGAACATGACTTGATAAATAGGCTAATTTTCAATACTATAACAAAGGGGATCAATTTTTTTATTTTTATTTTTTGGTGGTACTGTGGGTTGAACTCGACCTTATACTTACTAGGCAGGCACTCTACCACTTGAGCTATGCCCCCAGCTCCCAATTCATATTTTTACCATTTGTTTCACACCCACAAAACCATTTCAGAGGCATTAACAATGTTTCAAAGTCAGCCAGTTTTATGCAAGAAAACCTTATTTCTTTTAAAAAAGACTTGTGCACTTGCCCAAGCTTAGGAATATTAAATCTAGCACATCAAGCCCATTTTTAGAGGTAGAAATGTAGGCAATATACTATGACAGTAACCTTCAATTACAGATAAGAACTTTTTTCTGTAGAAACCACCTGAATAACAACAGTGCAATAATGAAAGTATTACTGAGTGGAGCACTTTTTGTCACCCATGCCTTTACTCCTAGAGTAGCTAGGTATGGTCAGAATGTCTAGGATAGGGAAGAATAGAGCCCAGAGCATGTGTCTGTTGCAGACACCCTAGGGCAAAGACGTAAGAAGGCATGCCCATCTCCCAGGGAAAAAGGCAGCAAGATCTGTGGCACACGGAATGGCTCAAGTAGTAAAGCACCTGCCTTGTAAGCATGAGGCCCTGAATTCAAACCTCAGTACTACCAGAAAAAAAAAAAAAGATCCATGGCACAGATCAGGGCTGGTGACTTAATCTGTACTCTGCCTTGCCTTCTCTTCGATTCCCTTTTGGGTGGCCAAAGTAGACATGAATGGCAGAGAAAAGGTGAAGGCAGCAGGGTCCTCCTGCAGGTCAGGAGGTTAAAGTCTACTCTGACTGCCTATGAGCTGCAGAGGACATCAGTGCTGCCTGCCACTGCCCCCAAGACACACAGATGGAAGACATCACTCCACCCTTCACACCTTCCCACACTTACTTTTCCATCTCCTTTAGCACCTGATTGCAGGCTGGAGGCATTCTTCTCTTGCTGGAGTATATAGCAAGAAGGGGCATCACAGTGGTCTCTGAAGCCTGTAAAGGGGTCCTGTGCTCCATTTCTCTTTCTCTCTAAGCAACCCAGGATAGCATACTCCTCTGGGCCTGAAGGACACCCGGGGAGGTCTTAGTCCTGCCCCCACTCTTCTCAGCCACTGTCCTTGGTACTGCCATCACTTACCATAGTATCACCCTGTCAAAATTCAGGAATAACTTTCCTACCATCTTCATCCACCTCCCATTTTCATTCCTTCTTTAGTAGTTTATTGAATGTGAACATACATCAGAGCATTCCTTGTTCTAGGCTCTAGAGTACTTCTGTGACCCAAAGTCCTTATCCTGATAGAACTTATGTATCAGGTGAGGTAAACACAAAATTAAAAAAACACAGATGAAGAGAGAGTGATGGGGCTGCAGGAGAGACCTTTGAAGAAAGACTGTTTGAGTAGAGAGCTGAAGGAAGGGATGGATCAGTTACCTCTTTCCAGGCTAGGAAGGAGGAGATGATAAGGCAACTCCATAGGGGCTCCATTCCAGCAGAGATTCTCACTTGGAGTGAAATAGGAGCTTGAGAAGGTTTGAGATAGATGAGTGGTGTAGTTGCTTTGTGTTTTAACAAGATCACCCTGAGCTGGGCACCAGTGGCTCATGGCTGTAATCCTAGCTACTTAGGAGGCTAAGATCAGGAGAATTGCAGTTCAAGGCCAGAGCCTGGGCAAATAGTTAGTGAGACTCCATCTCCAAAATAACCAGAGCAAAAGTGGACTGGAGGCATGGCTCAAGTGGTAGGTCACCTGCTTTGCAAGTTTGAAGCCCTGAGTTCAAAACCCAGTCCCACAACAATAAATAAAATAAAAATTAATAAAAAGATCACCCTGACAGCTGTGTGGAGAGTAGAGTAGACTTGGGGGAAAGGATAAAGGCAGAAACTGGGAGATTACTGGGTTGTTTCATGGTCCTGCCTCCCAGGGCATTTTGGTCCATCTATTCTCCCTTTTCCCTCACTACTGTCCCTAAAGGCTTAGGAGAGCCCTTAGAATTGGCCTGGTTGCCTCTGCCCATTACTAAGGAAAGCCCCATCCCCTCCTATTTGCACTCAGGCCCATTTTCACTCATACTGTTCTGCTGGCTCTTTCCTTCATGTTTTCCTGCTCTTTGCTGTGGCCCAGCCTAGAATGACCTCCTCTGCTAAGGCCTATTTTAGTGCCCTCTCTCCTGTACCCCCACAGTTTTGACCATCTCCTTCCTTTCATATGCCTTTTGTGTTCATGGCTTTCTCCTCCAACCCTGATCCCCAAGGGGCAGGACTCATGTATTCTGCTCTAGGTTAGGGCCTCAAAGGCTGTGGTTATAAGTGATACTTTGGGTTGAGGTTTCCCAACCTTGTCATCTTGGGCACAATTGTTCTACTTGTGCTTGTACTCTGGGGCCTAGTGTGCTGGCTTGTGGCCCCAGGGTCTGGGGCATCTGTAGGGCTTTAACCTGGCTTCCTGTGGTAGACCCTTAGCCAAAAAGGAGATGGAAGTCAGTGGGCCCAGAGTTGGGTGAGGACAGAGATTTGGGACACTGGGTGAGGTGATTCAGTAAGGCTAGCCCTCACCCTCTACCCTTGGATTTCAGACTTGAAGCTACACCTGCAGAGTACAGACTATGGCAACTTCTTGGCCAATGAAGCATCACCTCTGACAGTGTCAGTCATCGATGACCGGCTCAAGGAGAAGATGGTGGTGGAGTTCCGCCACATGAGGAATCACGCCTATGAGCCGCTTGCTAGCTTCCTGGACTTTATTACGTGAGTGAGCGCATAGCGCAGGGAAGGGTAGCTCTACCTGCAGGAGCTGGCCCTACCATGGCTTAGGCCAGCAGCCTTTGTGCCTTTGTCAGACCTGATGACAGCTCTGTCAGGCCAACTGTCATCAAGCAGTATCTTCTTCCAAGTCCTTCTAGGCTGTGTAACTGGCCTGGTCATTTAACAGCCATGGACCTCCAGGCTGCCATATGTAAAATGGGGTCACCAGCCTCTTTCCGTGTACAGAAAGAGGGTGGGGAGATCCGTGAAGATGAGAGCCCTTTTTTCACTTAACCTATAGCACCCACACTGAGTTATCACCAGCCTTCCCACCCTAGGGTCAAGGATCATGAAGACCTTGGTTTTTGGCCTTCTGGCCCTGCTTAGGCTGATGCCCATTCTCCATCAGCTCTGACTCTGGTCTAAGTCTCAGAGAAATTGTGTGGGTTGGTTGGGATGCAGGTTGATGAGAGGCTGCATGCCTTGCTGCCTTTCCCAGCTCAGGTGGACAGGCCCTCATGTTTATGACCCTTGGCTGCACCTACTTCCCCATCATAACACTTGGGTGGGACTCTGCCCACACCAAGCTCTTATAGAAGCTGAGCAGAGGAGAAGACCATCGGACTGCAGGCTGGGAGTGGGCACTTGGACCAGGCATATGTAACTATGCACAGGGAAGTATAGAGGTTACCTCTGCAGAGACAGCTGAGGAGGTATGGGCCAGTGCCTGGTGCACAAAGAATGGCCTCAGCCCAGGGGGCTGCTCCATATAGATAGCAAGCAGAGGCATGATCAATGGCCACTCTCTATGTGTTGTGAAATGGTGGTGTGTGTGTTGTTGTGGGGAAGTGTTTCTCCACACTCCTCTGGGTGCTGTGTAGCTTTTTTCATTCCCCCATTAGAGTGCCCCTGGGACTAGGCACACCACTCCACTTGTCCTTTCAGGGACAGGGTTATGTGGCCTGATTCAGGTCCACATTTCGAATAGGATATTTAGCTAGAGGGCTCTATCCTCAGGCAAGAGCCACAGACTGGGACACCTGAAGGGCTCAGGTAACCTGCCCAAGCTGAAAAGCAGGCCCTCTCCTGGCCATAAGTTTTCTTTCCTGGAAGCCTCCCTGCTGTCCTAGGTGGGCCCATAGTCACACTTCATTGGCCCCTGTCAAGGTATGCCAACATGGACCCACTGGAGCAGGAGTGCAGAGATGGAGTATATCATGTACTGCTGCGTGTGTGTGTGTGTGTGTGTGTGTGTGTGTGTGTGTGTGTGTGTGTGTGTGTGTGATACTACACCATGCCATTTGTTCATTTGTTACCCAGTCCCAGGTCTGGGCCTGTGAGTCCCCTGCCCCAAGGCCAGAGCCCAGGACATACAAGGAAGCAGTGCATTTATTGCCAGAGCCCAGCCTTCACCTTCGCCTTGTTTACACAAGGCTCCTTCAGCTTCCTGGTGAATGTTCTGGTCTTGCCAGCTAAACTGGCCGAAGGAAACCTAACCTCATGCCAACGGTCAGAGGGTAGATGTTATCCATTTTTCTGCCCATTTGCCCACCTGCCTGTGCATATAGCTCCTGGCCTGCCTTGGTCTCAGTCTGCCAGGCCATGAAACTGGAGAGGACTCAGCGTGACTGAGACAGAGCAGCCAGCCGCCAGCTCTTTGCTGGAGGTTGGCTGCAAGCACCAAGTGTGCTTAAAGCAGCCAAGTGCTATCCTGTGGCAGGCTATCCGAATCTGCCACTTCCCCACCCCTTCCATTCATGGGCGACTGTGGCTTACAAGCCTTCCAGTCTACTCACTCCTGCCTGCACTTGGGAAGAGCTCAGCAGCCACGCGTCAGCTGGTCTGAGCCTGTGGCTACTTGTTTCCTGACCCCCTCATCTCAAATGACCTGTTTCTCTGCTCCTCTGCTCTCCACTTCAGCCACCCTTCTTCCTCACTGACGGCTGCTCAGGGCCATGTCACTACCTGGAACTGGTCCACCCCAAAATTGCTGTGTCAGGCATCCCCCTCGCCCCCCACAGCCTTCAGGCCCTCCAACCCACTCTCAGTCTCTTTGTGGGCCATGGGTTCTGGACTCAGCAGGACACTGGGCCTTGCTTCCTCCCCTGCTGCCCCTTCTGTCTTCATTTCCCGCCTCCCCAGCTGAGGTTCCCTGGTCCATCATTCGCGCTCTCTTCTGCCAACATCCGCAGCTCTCTTGGCTGCCTGACTCATGGTCCCGCCCGGCTGGCAGCCCCCCAGCCCTGGAGGAATCCTAGAGCCTCCAGCCTGGAGCTGCCCTCCCCCCACCTCTACTGCTGGGAGCAAAGCTAGGGAACCCAGCCTTTGGGGGTGGAGGGTGGGGGGAGTCATTTTTGCTGCCAGACATGCATGCTCACCCACTCAGCTAGCTTCAGCTTGTCTCTGCCCAGTTGCCTCTTCCTCTACCTACTCAGTACCCTGCAGCTGCCCCCACCAAGAGTGGGAAGACCATCTCCCCATCTTAAACACCATCCTGTCCCCAGCCTCCTCCTGCCTGGGCAGATGGCCCATGTCCTCCTCTACAAAGACAATAAAAGCCAGTATACCTCCTAATACTGCATTTGCACTCCACCCCCAAGCCCCATTACAGTGGAAGAAGCGCCCTCCCTCTGGGATCCCTCTGGGATCTTTCCACCAGCATTCTGATTCCCTTCACCTTACTCCCTGGACACTCACTGAGTGTCTATCCAGCCACTTTCCCTTCCTTTCTGTTAGCTTCTAACACATTTTCTGAATTTCAAACACCCTTAAAAACCCAACCCAACTCATATAGCCTAAACTTTTACATTTCCTATCTGTTCTTTCACCTCCCCCCATCCTCCCTCAAGTCAGTTTCCAACAGTCCTATCACTCCACCACAAGCCTTTGGCTAGGGCCACTCCTGGCCTTCATGTGACCAAGGTCTTCAGGCCTGGTCACTGGGTGGCCTCCAGCCCCCAGCAGCCTCCTCCTCTCATGATTTCACTCTGACTTAACTCCTACCTCCCTGGCTGCTCTTCCTCCTCCTCTGCACCAGCAAACCATCCCAGGTGTGAGGAGTGTTGCAGAAGGGATGAAGTCTTCCTTTGTGGTCTGTGCCACAGTGCTCCTCAGGCTGGGGACTCAAGACTGGTTTCCCCGAAAGTGGTAACTTGGCTGAGGGGAAAGTTGTTTAAAGGAAGAATTGGGGAAGAGGGTCTAGGTTTGAGGTAATTATACATGTCCTGAAAAGGGATCATGGAGCCCCTGGCCCTATGGCCTCAACAAGAGCCTCCAAGTGTGGTATCCCTCTATGAAGGAGGAACCTACCCTAGAAATGCCCAGAAGAATGTACCCAGAGAAGAGAGTGCAGTTCTCCAGGGATGGGGTGAGTCTGAGACTCCATCCTGAGCCATGGCTGCCTGCAGATAAAACTAACTTATCCAGATACAGAGGTTGGGACTACCACAGAGATCAGATAGCTCCATACCTCAGAGAGCCTCTGCCTTCAGAGCTGTCCTAGGATGGCCAGTACAGAAGGTGATGAGCTCCCTATCATTGAAGGTCTACATGCAGAATCTGGTCAAGACATGTACCCTCTGTATAAGAGACCATATCCAGTGCCTTTGTAGATCCCAGCAAGCCTGCAACCAACACACATGGCCAGTACTTGCTCTGGGCCAAATCTAGTGTCAGGAGGGAGATGCATAGACATGGGGGCATGCCAATGGTGGTGTAGACAGTGCCTAGAGAGGCCTGTGGGCAGCTTCAATTAATGGGACTAGGGTTCACAGGTGGCGTCTCAATATTAGGAAGACTCCAGGGTCAGGTGGGGTTGGAGAGGTTATTTGAGAGAGCAGGTAGCCATAGTGGAGGCTGCTGCCTGGTGTGGGGCAGTCTGAGTGAGACAGGTCCTCCTTAAATAGATTGTCAGCATGTGGTCTTGAGATGAATGAGCTCAACTTCATGGTGCTAACATGTTAATATGTTGCTATAACAAGAGCTCCTGTTAGGCCTAACCATTAACTTGCTGTGTGACTTGGGATAGAACCTCTTTTAGGGATTTTGTTGTTGTTTCAGTCTTGGAGGAGAACTTGATCTAGGCCATTCCATGATGTTTTCCCACAGAAGAGTCAGCCCCTGAAGGGAAGCTGGGAGGTTGCTTGTAGGAGTATTGATCTTTGTCTCTGGGGAGTCTCAGGTGGGCCCTAAAGGCCCTTGGATGAGTGAGCCTCTCTGGTGAGGGTCTTTTCTAGTGTACAACACCTACCTACAGCCTAGGTGCCTACTGGCAGAGCCTGTATGCAGGAAACTTGCCTTATCTTGGGGAGCTGAGGTCTCATATTTCTCCTGTGTAAAGGGCCTCACTACCACCGGTTGGAGTGGGCATCTAGAACAAGGCTGTGTCTCAGGACAATGACCTCCAGTGCCCTGTGGGCCTGCCAGCACATCTGCCATTTTATCCAGGCTGTGTATCTTCCATCTTGGGCCCTGCTTGGTCATAGATCAGCATCAACTTTCCCTGGGCCTCCCTACCCTGACCCTCCAGCCCTCTCTATCTGCAACAAGCTGGGTTTGTGGGCAGACTACAAGTTTCTGCAGACTGGGACTCTCAACCTATTGTGGTTTCTGGGTTCTGCATTAGGTGTGGCCCCTGTCTGGAGAGCCAGGAATGACCCTGTTCTTCTGGGCTTGAGGAGAAGCACTACCTGGAATTCCTCAATGCCTAGAAGGCTTAAATCAGGGCAGTAACCCAATCAGGCCTCTAAGGATGTGCAGGATTTTAATAAGGAGAAGGTCAGGCCTTACCAGCTCTTATGGGCTATCTCTCACTTATCCTGATTGCACAGGGGAAATTGAGGCCTGAGAGTTGTATGCTGAGGTCATAGTGAATAATTCTATTCATTTGCTATCTGGACAGGAGTCTTCAGGACCTAGAGGTAATTTAGTACAGATATTGTCACTAGCAGCTCATGAGAGCACCTAGTGTGGCTGCAGGTGAACAGACCTGCAGATGTACCCAGTCATCATGGCCCCTTGACCAGGACCAGGCTAGTCTTCAGGGCTGAGAAGCCATGTCACTCCAGCAGGTGGCACCAAAGGGCACAGTGGCAAGGCAGGGTTGGCTAGGGACTCTGAAGGCTTCTTGTAGGAAGTAACTTCCCAAACTCCAGCCTGAGACTTCTGGGACCCAAGCTGTTTTAGAGACACAGGACAAGGGAGGGCCTCAGGGCAGAGGATTACAGACTGCCCTCCCCCCCCCAGGCCTCTTTGGCCTGGCGGGTAGCCGGCCATCCATTCCCCAGCTGTCTTCCCCTGGAGGAAGATGCTGACCAGCTGGAACCTCATTCTCTCCTATTGAGGCCAACTGAGGGGAGAAATAGAGTAGCAGATCTCTAGGGGTAGAGAGGCAGCTGCTGAAGCCAGGCAAGGAGGAGGAGGAGGGTTTCCCTGATTGCTGAATCCTTGGCCTTAGAAGAAAAAAGTCATATGGCTGGGTTACATCATCTCTGCCAGGCCTGTCCTGTCTTCCATATCCCAGGAAAGAGGATTCTGATCCTCACTGAGTTGGGGGAAAATCGGAGGCCTCTGCTGCAGCAACCTTGTCATTGGCCCAGGGGTGAAGAGAGTGGGGGAAGGAAATGCTAGGCCTGGCACAGGATAAAGGCTGACCTGCCTTGGGTAGAAGGAAACCATAGAAGAAATTGAGTAGGACAATTATGAGTGTCCCTTACTTGGTCCAGCATTTCCCTTTGTGTTTAGCTAAGGCTTATAGGAAGAGAGGCTGAGGGGAGCTGGGGGCAGGGACAGGTAGGGAAGCTACCACTGGCCTTTATATGAGCTGTCAGGGCTGAAAAGTGAATCACAGCTAGCCTTTTCCACATCACTGGAGAAACAGCAGCAAAGCCAGACACAGAATCTTACCACAGAGCTCTCCTCTGAGGTTTGCCCAGGACCCTTGGGAATGCCAAGGTCCCTCCTTTGGGCCCTGACCCGTCTTGCACCCAACCTAAACAAACACCCTGAGTTGTAGATACAAGGATTGGGGAAGTTTAGAAGAGAAAACTGGCTTATGGAGATTCCTCTGAGAAGATGAAGCTAGATGAGGAGTATAGAGCCAGGGCATGGGGTCCTGGACAGGGGTAGAAGTATATGGGCAGTAGCTATGTGGACAGAGCTCCTCTGCCTTATGTTGTGACAGGGCCTGGTGCTGGTCTTTTCTGGGCCTTATCTGCCCTGATAGGGTGATGATTGTGGGATAACTTAGATAACATGGGCCCAAGAGATGTGTTCTCTTTCTTCCTGTTTGAAGCATGTGAATATATAAGAGCATCCTTAGGCTTGGGGACAGGGCCTTTGTGGCTATCTCCAGGTGTGTTATGGGTGGAATGTAGGTAGAATGTCGAAGAATGGTAGGTGTGTCCTGGAATACACGAGATGCAGAAGACATCAGTGCCATAGGAAGCATGGCTGTGCAAGGGTAGAGAAAACATAGGCTGGGGCTGGAGACCAATGCACAAAGCTCTGAAAGGCTCTCTCTTTAAGTTCCCTCCACTGCCAGCTCTGTGGGATCAGGGCAGGAGGCTGGCCATATGTGCCTCTTGGCTTGCAGCTGCAAATAGGCCCTGCCTGAGGCCTTCAATTTGGGAAGGGGGTGGGTGCTGTTTCTTCTCTGCACATCCTGTAGCTGACCCAGCCAGATGGGGGGTGAAGAGAGGGCAACTGCCTGGCTCTGGGCCCAGGAGAGCAGAGGTTGTAGCAGGGCTCTGGGTTGGGTGGGAGCTGGTGGAGCAAGCAGGGGGAGTAGGGTCAGACTAGGACAGGAGCTGCGACCTCTTCCTCCTGCTGCCTTCCTGGAGGGCCCTGTAGGAGTATCCCCAGTAACTGGCCCTCTTAGCTGAGGCCTGGGCCCTGGGCCACCATCTCCTTCCCTTTGGTCCCTTGGTACTAGGGACCACCTCCTACCAAGGCCCTCCTTGAACAGCCTCAGCACTCAGTCCTCAAGATTCTGTCACAGGGAAGGACCCTAGCTCCAGCCTGCCTAGAAGTCAGAATAAGACAGTAGCTTCCATCCCACTTTCATCCTTCCTACTTTCATCCTCCCCATTGCCAAGCCTGACCTTCAAGAATATTCCCCTGAGGCCTCATCCAGCTCCTTTGTGCCCTGGGTTTATCCCTGATATCAGGCTGAAAAATAGTTGTGGCTATACAGCCAGACTATGGCTGAGGTCTTCTTCCCTTCTTCATTCCATTCCATCATAAGTGACTACACAGAACTCTCTGCCCCAACCCCTTTTTAGCCATGTCTTTTGGTTGGAGACAGAGCTTTGTCCCTTGCCAAGTCGGAACTGGGCAACCCCACCCTCCCTAGCTCCACAGCCACCTCTGCTGCCCATGTACTTTCCAGAGCTGGCCTCCTACAGTGACCTAGGGGAGCTTCATCCTGGGACTGACCTCAGTCTGGGCTGTTAGGTCTCTTGTCCAGGTCCTCCTGGACAGATGCCTGGATCTGGATCTGGTCTTGGGCCCTAAGGAGAGGACAGTTCTCTCTCTTTGGAAGAGGGCTGTTCAGGTCTGCCTGACCTGGCCTTTGCTCCAGAGGAGACCTCCACAACTCTTTTCTGGCCTGTCTTGGAGAAGCCTCTCCCCACTCCACTCCTCAGCCTTTCCATCTGCCTCTGTGTCCTGTCCCACAGTGGCCCTAACTGGACTGTGATACTCCATGTTTACTTCCTGGTCATGGATCCCTGGATGAATGAAATAGGAATCCTCAGCCTGGCCTGAACCCAGCCTCATCACTTCCCTGACTGGTAGCACTACCCCACTAGTGCTCAAATGCAGCCTCACTCAGTGTGTGGCTTCAGGCCTTTGCACACACTGTTCTCTCTTCTGAGAAGACATTTTCATCTCTCAGTCCTTTTATCTCTCAGCTCCTGACCACACCCACTCCTGGGCTGGGCTCATTTCCATGTGCCCATGGTTCCTGTGTCCTATTAGAACAGTGTGAACACTGTGCGGGAGTTACTGTTTCCCAGTCACTCATGGGACATGAATCCTCCATCCCAAGAGAGAGGCCATATCTGTCCTGTGTTCCTGGTGCTAGATGGGGTCAGGAACTTGAGAGGAACTTGGACAGGAAGGTGCCCAAGGATACAGCCAGAGGAACCTATGCAGTATCCATGAGCCAGCACATACTGTTGGCTGGTGCTGGGCTAGGACCAGCGTGGTGCTGGGCTAGGGCGTGGTGCTGGGCTAGGACTTCCAATCCCCCCACCTCAGTGGGCTGTTCTGTTGTGGTATGTCTCCCACAGTTACAGCTACATGATCGACAACGTGATCCTGCTCATCACAGGCACACTGCATCAGCGCTCCATTGCGGAGCTTGTGCCCAAGTGCCACCCACTAGGCAGCTTTGAGCAGATGGAGGCTGTGAACATCGCACAGACACCTGCTGAGCTCTACAATGCTATTCTGGTGGACACACCCCTGGGTGAGCTGCTGTGGTAGAAGCAGGAACTGGGTAGAGGTCTTGGTATCAGTGCCTCAGTGTGGGCTTTGTAGACTGCCAGGTATGGAACAACCCTGAGCCAGAAAGTGAGACCTGCCTGCTGCTGATGATCTTTATCCTTCCCTGCTTCCCCCTCTTATTCTCCTTCTCTACTTCTCTTCTGTTGTTTTTGCTGGGCCAGGCAGGCTACCCCCAGGGCCTGACTTAGACCATCTAACTTTGGAAATGGTCTGGTTTCTCAGAATATAGCTCATGGAGAGGAAAGAGAGAGGCTTAGGTACCTTGAAGTCCTGAGAGCTCTGAAAGACTGGGGCCGCATGCATGGCCAGAGTGGCTGCCTGCCTATGAAGCAGCGGAGGAAAGCAAACAGCTTCATTTGCCTCTACTGAGCAGGTCCCATGGGCCAGGTCAGACAGTGTCTGGCAGGATGCAGGGTCCATCTCAGAGGCCAAGGAAGGGAGGAGAATCGGGAGCTTCCTGTAGGGCCCCGCCTAGGCAGTGCTGGCTCTTGCCTGCTTAGGAGGCTTGGGAGAAGGTGTGAGGTCCATAACCAGCTAGTGCCTTCATAGCCAAAGTCTAGAGCCCTGGGGCACCATTCCAGGAAACTACCAAAACTGAACCACAGAGCCAGGTGCTGGTGGCTCACACCTGTAATCCTAGCTACTCAGGAGGCAGAGATCAGGAGGATTGCAGTTGGAAGCCAGCCCGGGCAAATAGTTTGCGAGAGCCTGTCTCAAAAAACCCTATCACAAAAAAATTGGGCTGGTGGAGTGGCTCAAGGTGAAGGCCCTGAGTTTAAGCCCCAGTACTGAAAAAAAAAAAAAAAATTGAGAGGCCATACCTACCTGCTGACATAGTCTGCTTTAGATGCTCACCGTAACTCTGAGCTAGTTCTGACCATTTGTGGCTTCTGCAGTTTCTTCATTTTTAAAGGAGAGACAGAGCAGTGAGTCTACAGGCCCTCTTTGTAGGGCGGGGGGTGAGGGTGTTGCACTGTCCTACTATGGCCTCTTCTAGCCCCACAGTGGCCCCCTGGGTCACTGGTCCATGCCCACCCAGCTGCCGAACTCATTCCTTTTCTGAAGGAGGAGGCTAGTTTTCCAAGTGTGGGAGCCAGGCCCTCCTAGGGGATGCAGAATAGTGGGCGTCAGGCCCCAAATCCACAGCTGCCCCTGGAGAAGGGAGAATCTCATGGCCTCTTATGCAAGCCTGTCTTTGGCATGGTCTAAACTTGGGTCTGCCCCAGCGGTGATTAGATCATGTTATGGCTGGCCGCCTCCTTTATAAATCAATTTTAGGAGCAAGGAGGCAGGAAAAGCTCAGGTCAGTGCTCATGGCCCAGAGAATTGCTTTTGCCCCTTCCAAGGTAATATCTCAGACTGGATTGCAGGCCCCCCAATATCTAGCACAGTAGGTCTTGTGGCAGGGGTCCTTTGTGTTCTGTAGAGTTCTTGCCTATGCTTCTTGCACACCCCTGACACCCATGTCTTTCTTCCCCAGCGGCTTTTTTCCAGGACTGCATCTCAGAGCAGGACCTTGATGAGATGAACATTGAGATCATCCGCAACACACTCTACAAGGTAGTGCCCTGTATCAGTGGTAGGGGATTGGCCTGTCAGTGAGTGGGGCCATGGGGTGATTGTGGGATGGTGATTTATGTGAGGTGCTGGGATGGGACGCAGCTGCACCAGGCTCCTGTCCTAGAAGCTTATCTGCTTGTTCTCTGGCTCCTGTGATGGGGGCACAGCTGCATGGAACAGGTTATCCATCCTGTGGTGCCTGCGGCAGGCTCAGATAAAATCAGCAGGAGTGGCTGGTGCTCTACCGCTTGGCCTGTCAGAGCTGGCTCCTGGACAGGCACTACCCCAGCATCCAGGAGGGATATAGACTATACCCAGGTCACAGCCATTAGACCTACCCCATCTGAGCTGTTGCCAGGACAGGTATTTGAGCAAAGGTAACAGTGCTCAATTACTATGGGAGAGGGATCCAGCCAGGCATATCCAGATCATTATGACCCTTTCAGCTTCCCAGGCCTGGAGCCAGTGCCATATCCCACTATCTTCATCCCCTATCCACCTTCTTCTTCCTACTGGGCTATGGCATAGACTTGCTAACCTATGGGAATAGAGGGTGGGCTTGGGATTCCTGGGTCAGCACTGCCTTGGCCTAAAGAGATTAAGAGCCAGGGAGCAGTTAGGGACATTTGGGATAGACTGGGCTTTGGTTGTGGTAAGGTACTGAGCTATGGTGCCAAGATTCCTAATGAGCTATAGTCAGGAACATGGATCAACAGGGAGACCTTGAAGGGGGCTGGGGATGTCGATAGCCAAGGGGCCTACTGACTTAACCCTGATAGAATCTGCCTATCTAGTCTCTGCAGTGGGTTCCATTCCTGACCTTATTGGATCTAACTGGTTGACATTTGATTCAGCCTGAACCCAAGCCCTCCAGTTTCCCTGCAGGGGCCTAGACCAGCATGCAGGAATGGTCTTGTGGTAGGTGAAGGGCCTGTGTAGAGGTGATAGTGTAGGAGGGAAATGACACATATAGAAGGAAAGCATGAATCATGAGCCAGGTGGCAAGGAGTTTGCTGTGTAAGTACAGGTTCTGCATGGATAGTGGGAGAGCACTCCAAAGAAAGAGGCAGGCACAGGTCAAGTCATTGAGGGCCTTGAATGCCAGGCCAGAAGTTTGAATTTTATTCTGTGGTCAGGGTCAGCCAGTGAAAGTTTCTAGCAGAACAGATTGTGCTCAGAAAGCCCTGTTGGACTGCAGTGTGTGAAAGGTAGATTAGAGGCAAGACAGGTATCCACAACTTTCCTCATCAGGACTACCTTAGCAACTAGTATGCATCATTGTCCCATTTGAAAAATGAGGGAACTGAGGGCTCAGAGAAGTGAGGTGGTTGTCTAAAGCCACACAGTAAGTCAGCAGCAGCACTAAGGGTGACAGCTGGTTCAGCCTGTTTGCAAAAGCAAGGGCTCTTACCACCCCGCTAACAGGGAGGCAAGCCAACCCTGTCCCAGGTAGAGAGATAGAGAAAGTGTATACATACACACACACTCGTAGTGTTCCCACCCGCCCAGCTAGCCTATTGCTGGGTTTCCTGCCCTGAGACAGGGTGAGGGGTGCGGCTGTCCCCCCAGCCTCACCCACACCCTCACCAGGCCTGACTGGTTCTAGCTGGAGTCACTAGTGAGGGCTGCCCAGGCACCAGCTCATAAACACCAACCCAACACTGTGGGCCCCATGCCAGGGCCACCTGCCCGTCAGGCAATGTCCCAGCCCAGTGGCCACAGATGGGAGATTAGGCGGACCCTCAGCCGCCTGACAGGTGGGAACTGTAGGCAGCTGGTGCAGCACACATAGGCTGACTGACTTCAGGGGACAGGGTGGGGCAGGGGAGGTGACCTTGATAACTGGGTCTTGCCAGTTTCTTTAGCTATTCTAGTCTCTAGAGGAGAGGCTAGGCCACCCCAACCCTGGGATCAACCTCTTCTGGAATCAATACAGCTTGGGTAAGCAAGTGGGTAGGTAGCAGAGCATGGAGCCTAAGAAGTAGCTGGTGGCTTCTCCCACAAATAGGAACTACAGGCCCCACTTGGGTAGACCTCAGGGTCTCAGCATAGTCAGCTCAGCTTGCTACAGGAAAAACCACAGGGGACTGACTCGTAGAGGGTCTGAGAAATACTACTAAGCTGTGATAAGACATTGACAGCTATTTCTGTACCCAGGCCCTCTTATTCCTGATGATTCTTTATGTTGGGCTCCACTCTCCCCTCCCAGTCTTCTTATTCCTGACCTGTCCTAGTCTTTTGTTTCCTGTGACCTGAGTAGTCTCTTTCTGACTCTCTCCTGAGCCCAGCTTGTCTACTGTTGTTGGCCAGGCTAGGCCTGGGTTCATGGAATCCTGGGTCTCATCTCATCTCTCCCAAAATGGCAGAGCCTATGGGTCCAAGTTGATGTGGAGGGCATACCTCAGTGTGGAAAGTTTTCCGTACCTCCTGGGCCTTTCCCCCAACTTGGAAGAATAGTCTCTTGCCTGTGGACCCACAAGCTCTTTAACTATGTCACAGATAAGACCTGGAGAGTTCTGAGTGAAGGGTGTCCATGCAAGGAAGCTCCCCATAGGACCTGCAAGACCATGAAAAAGTGTGGGGGGAAAACCCCATTCATGAAGTCTGGCTTTACAAATGAGTGTTGGGAGGGACCTGAGGCTTGGGCTGACCTGTCCTTTCCTCATGCCTAGCAGATCCAATTTGCCTGGGCAGGAAGTGCTTGTTCTCACCAACAGCCCATGTACCCAGCCATTATACTTTGAGGCTGACGTCTACATAGGCAATAACCATCCTTCAGCAGGAACTAGCCTGACAATTTGGTTCCTGCTGTATGATGCCCAGGGGCTGTCTGGGAGGGGTTGAAGGAGAAGGTTCTGCAAGGTAGAGTGCAGCAAGTGCCACTCAATCTAAGCCATCTCTGTAAACACTCAAGATTAACCTTCCTTCACTAGCTCATGGACACCTGGTTTTCTGAGGCCAAGGAAGGGGAGGTTTGGGGACATTAGGGGAAGAGGAATGTAGAGAATCAGGAAGAAGAGAGAGCCTGGCTCTCTGGGATGAAGAGTGGGAGATATGCATCCTGAAGCAAACAGTAATCCAGAAACTTCTGTGGGCGGCAGCAGGCTACTACTGCTTGGCTTTTTATTAACTGTTGAAATTGATAGATATTTTAGGGGGTTTGCCATAGAGCTGCCCTAGCCCATCCCTACTATAAAAGGGGCTGGAGAGGGGAAGAGGGAAATCCTTGCTTGCACTAAGCAAGCTTCATATTCTGCACAGGCCTACCTGGAGTCCTTCTACAAATTCTGCACCCTACTGGGTGGGACCACAGCTGATGCCATGTGCCCCATCCTGGAGGTGAGTGCCTGATCATTCTGCCTGCTGGTCCCTACTGCCTCTGGCTTAGGGGAACTTCTGCCAACTGACTGGCTACAGCCTCCTTCTTCCTCCCTCTCTCCTTGCCTGTGCACTGATTCCACAGTTTGAAGCAGACCGCCGCGCCTTCATCATCACCATCAACTCTTTCGGCACAGAGCTGTCCAAGGAGGACCGTGCCAAGCTCTTTCCTCACTGTGGACGCCTCTACCCTGAGGGTTTGGCTCAGCTGGCTCGGGCTGATGACTATGAGCAGGTCAAGAACGTGGCTGATTACTACCCGGTGAGTGCCCTGGCTGGCAGAATGGTGGGTGGGCATGTTGGCACCATGCACCCCTCAGCAACACCCTCATACTCATGCTTCCCTGGCCAGGAGTACAAGCTGCTCTTCGAGGGTGCAGGCAGCAATCCGGGAGACAAGACCCTGGAGGACCGGTTCTTTGAGCATGAGGTGAGCACAGGTCTCTTGCAGGGCCTGCCAGACATAGGGAGGGTTATGGCTTAGGCCTGACTCTGGCCACTGCCATCTGTACACCACACCTGTCTCTGTCCACAGGTGAAACTGAACAAGTTGGCCTTCCTGAACCAGTTCCACTTTGGTGTCTTCTATGCCTTTGTGAAACTCAAGGAGCAGGAGTGTCGCAACATTGTGTGGATTGCTGAGTGCATCGCCCAGCGCCACCGTGCTAAGATTGACAACTACATCCCTATCTTCTAGCATTCTGATCCAAGGCTTCCAAGTGCACTGTGTGTGTGCTACCCATGGCTCACCTGCCTGCCCTGGGGGGGGGGGTAGCACATTGTCCTAGGGGCTGCCCAGCTTCCCTGATTCCCTCTGAGACTGCTCTTAGGCCTGAAAAGAGGCTGGGCACCTCTCCCCTGACCCAAGAATGGACCAATATCCCTTCCAGAGCAATGAGGCCCCCTCAGCCCTGTGTTTACAGCCACTGACATGTCTGAGAAGCATGTGGTCACTTTCATGTCCCTCCCTAAATTGAGGACCCCTAGGGGCAGTGTGAGCCTCCTCCCTGTGGGCCACTCCCAGAGCTAGGGCCCATGGGAAGGATAGTGTATGTCATTGGGGCATGGGGGAAGCAGCTCAGCTGTGCTCCTGAAATAATAAAACTGCTCTAACTCTACTGTCTGCTGCCTCCTTGGGCCCTAATAGCTCAGACCCCTGACTTCCTTCATGACAACACCCTTGCTGAGCCTCCCCTACAGAGCCCAGATTCCTCAGGGGCAGAGTCCCTGGAGGACAGCGCCTTCCTGTGCTGGAGGTGAAGATGCAGCGATGGGGCTGGAGATCTGGTTCTAGCCCTGGAGGGCTCCAGATTTCCATAATTGCTGCACAACTCCCCACAATCTGTTGTTACCCTACTTTCCCTAAGCTTAAGGATCAATCATTTGCCTAAGATCAATGGAGGAAGAGTGTGAACCACTGTGGGCCACAGTGAGTCTAGTCAGGCCTGAGTACCCACGAACTTTGGGTCCCCATGTTGAGCTCCAGGAGCTCCTAGGCAGTTCCCAACCTCTGCCACACAGCCACATTCTGTCACTCAGGCAACCAGGCTGTCACCTCTAAACACTGCATCTCCCTATTCTAGGAGAAATAAAAATTTGTCTTTATTTAAAAAGTAGGGTATGCAGCTTTCCTGTGCCTTGGGGTAGGTGGTTGGGGTCCTAATTCTTGAGCCAGTCAAGAGGCAGTTCGGATTTACCCTGGAATTACAGCACTTGAGGCACTGGTGCCAAGAAACAATCCTGAGGAGGTCCCCAGCCCACCCAGTCTCTCCTTAGTTTGCAGAGGCACTGTCTGTAGGATCCTGTCAAAGGCTACAGCTAAATCTTATACTAACCTCCCCATCCAGCTGGGTTCACCAAGCTGTAGGGTAGAACATTGTGCCCAAGAGGGTCTCTGTGGGCTCATGAAGCAGTGGAGAGGCCCAGAGGCTCACTGGGAAACCTGAGGCTCTAGGGCAGACTTGGGGATTCATAATGGCCAGGAGAGGGCCAAGGGCTCATGGAGCCTCTCGTGCTGGAGCAGATATGCCTATCTGCACATGGCTCACCGAGCAGCCACTGGGGAAGGTTCCAGATTTGAGTTTGGATCCTGGAGTGTGTCCTGTGCAGGGATAGAGCCAGGCTGGCCAGGCCGCAGTGCTCGGGGCAGACAGTGACTGATGAAGTAGATCTGCAGGAAGCGGCGCCGCAGGCTCTCTGGCAGGTAGTAGTGGATGAAGTACATGAGCCCCAGGCCACGGCCCGGGTAATAGCGGCGACGGGGCCGAGCTGCCAGCAGTGCATCAGTGATGGCATCTACAACTGGGCTGAGATCGGGCAGTGCCAGGTGGAGTGAATGTAGGAACTGCCCATACAAGTGCTCAATGTAGTCTTCACCATAGGCCTGCAGAAGCTCTTCTGGCAGGTTGGCCAACAGCAGTTGCTTGCACTGCTCCCAGTGCTTCACATTTGTCACTGACTCTGGGAAAGGGGTGGCAAAGTCAAAGGGCACTCAGCTAAGGGAGCCAAAGGCCACTGGTCTATTTAACCTGAATTGCACCTCTAGTCAAAGCCTCCCCTACCCCATAAGACCATGCCTACCCCTCCTTTCCCAGCCCCATCCCCATGCATTCCCTACCCCCAGCCCTGACCCTCACCTGTCTTGAAGCAGCCAGGCTGAATGACGCTGACCTTGACCCCCCAGGGAAGCAGTTCACAGCTGAATGTGTCCATAAGCAATGCCATAGCTGCCTTGGAGGTTCCATAGGCTGCCAAGCATGGATATGGCATGTCTCCTGGGGTATAGAAGAGGGGATGAGGAAACTGAGCTTAGCCAGGGTCTCCCCAAATCTTCCCTTGCCCTGCAGCAGCTCCTTTTCTGCCCTGTTCAGAGGGGGAGCGCACTCACCTGCTGGGCTGCCCAACGTCACAATGCGACCCCTTGAGCGGCGCAGGAGTGGCAGGAGGCCTTTGGTCAGCTCAAGTGTGCCAAAGAAGTTCACCTCCATGCAGTTGCGGAATGCGGTGAAAGGACACAGTTCCACATCGGCCACCATGTCATTGAGGCCGGCATTGTTGACCAGACCCCACAGGCCTGAGGACATAGAGGTAAGGAAGGAAGCCTCAAGTCAGCCTCAGAGCAAATCTGCAATCCCTACCATTCTCATCCCCACCTGGCCCTGCCCTCCTATAGCATGCTCACTGACCAGTGCTGGCGGTGTGAGCCTTGGTGAACTCCAGCACACGGCTAATGTCCTCTGGCTTCATCAGATCCATCTGCAACAGCTTTAGACGAGGGGAACAGCAGGCACGCAACTCTAGGGCACCGGGGCTATTCAACTCCAACACAGTGGCCAGCACCATGAAGCCCATAGCATCCAGTTTCTTGGCTGTCTCCTTGCCAAAACCAGTATCACAGCCTGGCCAGGGCAGAGGAGCCAGTGAACTACCACAGTGGTCTGGATCAGCTCAAGACAACCCAAGGATCACCAGGGTCTGATTAGGATCCAGGCTCCTGGACTCTCAACCCAACAGCAGTCACCAGCCTCTCTCCTAACAGTTATCTCTGGCACAATTTGTCTTTCTGGCTGAGCCCTGAACACAAACTCTGTAACAGCTGTCATCTTCCTGATTCCCCACGGCTTCTCCATCCAACAGGGCTCATGATTCTCACTTTACAGAAGGAACCAAGACCTAGTCTGGAATCATCTTATCCCCTGAATCCATCCTTTGCCTAAACAGCCAGAGAGAGCTTTCCAAAAATGACAATATCACTGCTGCTGAAAATTTTCCCAAGGCTTCCTGCTGTCCTCAGGACCCTGCCATCCTCAGAACGAAGCCCAAGCTGTCTGGTGCCATCATTTAGACCCTGTCCAACTGTGTGCCCCCCTCCCTTCCCAGTCTCAACATCCTGTACTACCATTCCAGGATCTAGGCAAACTGGAGGCCCATCCCCATCTCATCCCTGACCCCTCTCCCTTGGAATTCCAATCTGAGCCCCCAGGTCACTTGCCCCCAGGACAGGGACCATAGTGAGTGAAGAAAACAAATCTGCGTTTAAATCCCTTTCCACACTTGGTGAAGTGTGACCTCAGGTCAGTTACTACTCTTGGAGGCTTAATTTCTTGTCCTTGGTATGTAGAGATAAGACCCGCCAGACAGGGCCAGTGTGGGGGTCCATGGTACTGATAAGTCCCTGCTTCCTTGATGGTTTCCATTCTGATCCTGGCTCCGTGGGTGGCCAGTGAGGGGGGAGGAGGGCCAATGAGCCTGCCAGCCCTGGGGTCTTGCTGAACAGAAAAACTGCAAAGCAGCTCTGCTTCCCCACTGCTGGTCCATCAGTACCCCTCCTCATCTCAGACCTGCCCCTTCTGCTGAGGCTAGAACAAAGCTAGGCAGGGGGCTGCGAACTGGGCTTTGTGCAGCTGGGGTCCCGCCAGTCTGTGCTGAGAGGTCCTTCTGGGCAAGACTGTCTGGGGAAGGGGAGTGTGTGTGTACAAATGCATGCACTTGCCTCTGTTCCCTCCCAGAGCACACAGGCCCTCCATAGGAAAACTAAGGTCTCCCAGAGCCTCAGCTCAGGGCCCAATATAGCCACCCACATTTTACACACCCTCTTGCTCACCTGCACACACTTAGATACCTGTACACACCTCCAACCTGCCCAGACGTTCACACATGGACTTGACCCCTGTCACTCATCAGTACACAGATGTGCACATACAAGCACACAAGGCAACCAACTATATAGCCCAAACCCTGACCACATGGCTGAGCTTGGGGAGTAGCCCTGGCAAGCAGTTATCAGGGAGGGGTGGGTGGCAGTTCTGGCATGCACAATACACAGTGTTCTTGGCAGGTGGGGCAGGAGCTTAAAGTGTCTTGTAGCCTGGTGGTGACTGAGGAAACCCCAGAGTTTGTGGACACTAGGAAGCTAGGAGCACACTGCTGATGCTTACACAGGGCTAGGCTGGGGAGTCCTCTTCTCACTCTCAAATCCTGAGCTTTGCAATCAAAGATGGAGAGCCCAGGTCACAGAAAGCATCCCTCCTCTCACCTCTCCCTCAGGCTCAAGGCTAGAAGTAACAGCAGTAGCACAAAGATTTCCTGAGTGAGAGCTCAGGAAAGACTGCCCACCTTTAGTACCTGAGAAGCCTGGGTCCTGCTGAGGCAGCTTACAAATTAGAAGGCAGGAAGGTATCAGCCCAATTCCCAGGGGCAGAGCCCACAACCTCATTCCTGCTTCATGCCAGGAGGATTTGGTGGCTTTCCTTCCCCAAACTCTAGAAACTGGGGTCCCGTGAGACTTCACACTTACCTGAACTTGGGTCTCTATCATCCAGCCTGAGCCCTGCCTCATCTCTACCCTCCCACCAAAGCCCTAAGCCCTTGTGCCACGCCCCCCTGAACATTCTGGCTTCTTACCTAACAGTCAAGGAACCTCCCAAGGAAACCTCACATCCCACAGTCAGACTGGTTAATGACTGTCCCCAACCCAGGCTATGCTTATTCCTGCCTTAAGCCTCTGTCCCACACCCTCAGCGTGATCCAAGACACTTTCCTATTCCACCTCTCTCCACCTGTCCTCTGACACCCAGTTCAAGGATTTCCTCCAGAGTTCTCTCAGTCCCCACTGGCCATGGCAGAACCCCCCACTGAACTGAGGTCTCTGAGAAGCCAGCTTGCTAGTTGTCCTCAACTCAGGCCCAATGTAAGGGCAGAGCCCAAAGCACCTGTCCAAAGCAGTGGTGGTTTGGGGAGAAACTAGACTGCCCCTCCCGGACACAATCGACCAGTGCCCTCTGGCCTTCCTCCCCCTCCTCACTTCCTGCTGGGTCTGCAGCCCCCCTTTCCTTTTCCCTTGCTCTGATGACAGATTTATTCCCTGTTCTAGACAAAGGGAGCTCAGCTAGGCAACTGGAGGCACCTGAGCCCAGGTCTCCAAGAACTCCTTCCTGGGCACTGAGGACCAGGTTCCAGGATGGAGGCGAGGTGCTGGGTGCAGACTATCAACTGTTGACTCTGCATTCTGGCCGCTGGTGACTGGACCTGATAGGCAAGCTGAATGTCCAGCTGCCTCATGGTGACTTCAAGAATTTCTGAACTCCAAGGATTTCAGCCAATAGTGTGTGCCTGTGGGGGAGGGGGAGGAGGGAAATCTTACCATCTAAGCTCCTTCCTCTAGTCCCAGCGAACAGGAGCTGGGGTGTCCCACATGGGGATGCCAGATAGAGTTCAAAGAATGACTATGCTCCTGTCTCGGGTCTTCTGGATACCTTCAGAGCATTGTCCCCTGCTCCATGCGGGCTCTTTTGGCAAGGGGCACAGCATAAACCTTGAAACTCCAGAAGACTCCTCTTTTCTCAGTCACCAGTTTCCTTTGAGCACCTGCCCACTCCCTACCTCACTTTCCCTCTAACACTCTCGGCAGCGGCAGGTAGTTAACCCGGACTTGGGAAGATGCCCAGCGCTTCCTACTTGGCTCATTCCCTTGTACCCAGGGGAGGGGACTCTCACTTCTGTGCCGGGGAGCCCGCCTTGGTCGTGCCCTCTAGGTGTGCGGAACCTCCCTCGAGCCTGGAGTCCCCACGCTCTGCGCACTCACCGGTGATGAGCACCGCGCGAGTGGCCACCGGTAGGCGAGGCGGACGCGCCAGGCGGGACAACGCGATCCAGCCAGCAGCAGCCAGTACGGCGAGTGCGGCCGGCGGGGGCAGCAGGCGCTGGCACAGCCAGTCGAGCGCAGCCAGCAGCGCCAGCGCCGCCAGCAACGGGCGACCCAGACGCAGGTCTGAGCGCAGCAGCTGCAGCAGTGCGCGGGCAGCCACGAGCAGCCAGGCGCCGCCCGACGGCCAAGACCAGCGCTCCATGGCGGCCTGACCGGGCTGGGCCGGGGCGGGGCGAGGGCTGGGATAGGGAGCGCGGAGAGGGACTCGGGGCTGGAACGCGGGGTGCGGGGGAACACTGGCCAGGGGTGGGAAGAATACTCGCTTTCTCTAGTGGCCCTCGGACCTAGCTTATAAAGAGCCTCAGGGGCGGGGCGAGGGCGGGGCGGAGGCGGGACAGGGGTGGGGCTTTCCTACACTTCTCTCCCGGCACCCCCCGCCGGGCAGGTACACCCCCCCCCGCTCCGCCCCCTCGGTCAGATCCGCTTTCGAAGAAGCCGGAACAAAGTCCTAAGTTGCTGCGTGAGGCGGAGCCGTTCGCCGCCAGCTGCCGGCCCAATCCATGTATCCTGCGTCCATTCACCCCTGAGCCCCCACCCAAGCGCCCATGCCCCCGAGCCACCACACCCAGGTGAGCACATCCTGCTCACACTTGCTCAAGACACCTGAAGACACGCACAACTTTCATTCAGGCACTTCACATTGATAGTATTGCGGTGACCGCCAGGCTTTAGGGAGCACCGCGTGGAACCAGCCCGCCCTTGCCTGGTCGCCTTCAGCCACACCCGCACCCACACGCGGTGGTTGGCTGCAGGTTCCTGGCATGCACGCCCTAATGCGCGCTCACCTGAGCAGCTCGCAGCCACAAAACCCTCCTTAGGCAGGGACTAGGGGAACAGAGTGCCCATCGGGTTTCCTGGGAATGTCTGCCCTCCTCCCTAACCCCTGGGGCCCAGCACTGGGGATGCACAACCCCACCTCTTACCACACAAGTATATTGGTGGTGGTAGGGGGCGGTGAGGGCTGGTGGAGTGGCTCAAGTGATAGAGTGCCTGCCTAACAAAGTCTAGCAAGCATGAGGTCCTGAGTTCAAGCCCCAGTGCCGCCAAAAAAAGCAAAAATAATCTGTTAGCTACATGTTTATTGTCGGGGGGGGGGGGAGGTGTCAGAGGAAGCATCTAGGCCTAAGAGCCAATTCAATGGGAACACCTGGGGAGTCAGCAAGGGCAGACTCTAGGACAGGGTGGTCCCTGCCCCTGCTCCCCTGAATCCCCAGGGGATAAAATAAGTGGCTGGTGTGTGGGTGCAGTTCCCTCCATGTGTGTATGAAGGTCCTTGTTTGTGTGTGGCCTGCCTTTCTACCCCCTGCCACCCCCGAGTCTGGCACCCTGTGCTGAGCATGCATGTCAGGGCTCTGCCAGGCACCAGGGAGTTGTTGCCAGTACCTGAGTGCCAGGCCCTATGCTGAGAAGAGTAAGTACAACCTATGGCAGAGGAGAGCCCTGCTCTGCTCTTGGCAAGCCTCCAGGCCTTGCCCAGCTCCTCATCTCTGCCCTCCCCAGGTTTTCAGAGGTCATGGACTCCTTGTCACAGCTCTCAGCCCTGTTGCTCATTCTCTCTCCCTCCTGTGCCTAGATTCTGGGCCAGGGTTTCATGAAAATGGTCCCTCCAAAGCCATTCTGCCACCCAGGCATAGGCTTTTTGATGGGCCAGGGAGATCTCAGCAAGGGGGCTGGGAGCAAGCTCACTTAAAGGGAGAGACTCTGGATCGAGAACCCATCTTTGCCTAGAGCCACTTCCGTGCCTCCACTTGTACCTCCCCCTAAGTATGGATGTCAGGCCAGCCCTAGCCTGGGAGGCAGGACTGGCCTGGAGAGGATGTGTGTGCCTGACGTTGGCTACATGACCTTGTGTGCCTGTGTTTGTACATGCTTAGGTTTACGGGGCTCATGGCTTGTGTGTGCCATTTGGTTGTATTCCTTTGCTATGTATGCGGTGATGCTGACTGTGCATGTACATACGTGTGTGTATTGTGTGTGTTTCCAATACTCTCCCTCTGTCTGGGGCATCCTGGTTCTGGAACTCAGAGAAACATTCCTTTTCCAAATTCATTGACTCCTGTTCCCTGAATCCATGGTCCAGGCCCAGAGGTGGGCACAGCACCTTTAGCCTGGCTTCCTGCTTTGATGGTACAACTTATATTAGTTGGATCCCCAAGATCTACGCATCCTATGAAGATTCTGGCTATAGTTTCTCCAGTCCTGCCCATTAAGGGTTTCTTCTTTTGGTGGGGAAGGCAGATAGAAGGGGAGGCCTGGGGAGCCTTCAAGGTCAAGACCATATAGATAGTACCACTGCTTGCCAGAGCAAGAGTAGAAAGAGCTAGAGTAGGGGGATGGAGGCAGAAAAGCAAAGTGAGGAGGAGACTGAGAAACAGGGTCCTATCCTGGTCCTGTGAAGGAACTATTAAGGATCCTGACTCATCAGGAAGGCCACGATGGGGAGTGAGGGTGGATGAAATGGAAGGAATTGTCTTTGGCTGTGGAGTGTTGGATGGTTAGGGTGAAAAAAGGGGGTGTTTTCAGCTCAGCTTCTGGGACACTGTGCCACCTTGAGTGGAACCATTAGTCTTGTGAGATTTGGGTTTTGGTGGAACTGGACTTATCTGCTACATTATTATATAACCTTCCCCCTCATTCATCCTACTTCCTAAGCTAGGTGGCCATGCCTCCTTCTTCCGGGGATCTGTGCTCCAGCCCCCTTTGGCCTCCTCAGTCACTGACCCCTTCCCTTCATCAGGTGGAGGTGTTCCCGGAGTGGAAGGTGTTTCAGGCAGTCATAACTAGGAGGGGCTGGACCAGCCCTGTCTGAGGCCTGGTGCCAGGTCACACCTGCCTAGGGGCAGAGAACCAGCCTCTGCCAGAACCAGAAGTCTGGGCTGGTAGGGGCCTCCAGGGAAGAGGAGAGGGTTGAGGGGCAGAGGGCAGGAGCCCTAAAAGATAAGGCAAGGCCTGAAAGGGCAGAGGAGGAATGAAGGGCAAACCAGAAGGAACAGAGCTCTTGGAGCCACCCCACCCTCCCAAGTCCTTAGCCCACAGTCTCCTTTAGTGCTTTGTTCTACCTCCCAACTCCCCTTGGTCAGAAACCTAGTTAGCCAAACCCTTAACATGCTTCAGGCTCCGGAAGAGCAAGGGTCTGGAGCTGGCAGGCTGGCTCAGGTCTGTTCTGGTGGAGTCCAGCAACTCACTGGCACCATCTGCTGGCCTTTTGGGAGGGTGCAGTTGTGAAGGGGAGAAAGGCCAGTGACTGCTGGATTGGAAAGTGGGGGAATAGAAGTCTGGAGTAGGGGTGTACCAAGAGGCAGTCTCCAAGAGCCCCCACACTCTGTCCTCTGAGTACACTGGAGTTCCTGGAACCAGGCACTCATCACCTTTTCTTCTCTCTGCGGTGCAGCTAAGAGGCAGCTGAGTCTCTTGGAGCCCTGCCCTGGACATTGCTCATGGCCAGCACCCGCTCCACTCCTTCCCCTGGCACAATGGCCACGAGGTCCCTCTTTCTGCCAATGGCCAGTCCTTCCACCTACATTCTAGACTTCATTCCTCTCTGTTCTCAAAGACAGCAAATTTTTATTGACTTCTTACTGAGTGTCAGGTCCTGTGCTGGGACCACAGATAGAAGGACAAACACTGGCCACTTCCCAGCAGCACTCTGGCTCTGGCCACTCCCACTGGTAACCTCAATCCTGTATCCTTTTCCTCAGGCATTGTTCTCATGCTCTTTCTTGTTCTCTACTACATTTCTCTAAAGTTGTCTGTAGCTGCCATCACTGCTGTCCCTTTTCCCACTGTAACCCAGGATCAGGTCACCATCCTGACCTTACCTTATGGTAAACAGTAAGTGACTTCCTAGTTTTTAAATCCCCATAGACTCATGTCTGCCTTCCACTAACTTGGCCTCCTTGAAGCCTCTGCTCTGCTGGCCTCTCTTGCCTGCCTCGAGCCCTATCTCCCTTCCTTGCTTGTGAAGCCACCACTACTGAGTTTCCTCCTGCCTCTCTGCCTTTCCACCTCTCTGCCTCTCCCACTTCTTTCATGAACTTGTCTTCTTTGTGGGTGAGCCTCTGTTTGTGGAGGCCTCACACTCACCCCCTCCCATGAGCTCATCTTCCTACTCACATGCTGGTGACGCCCATACTCCTTCACTCTCCAGCCAAGGCCTCCCTCTTGACTCCAAGCCCACTCATCCAGCTGCCCTGGATGCCTCCCTTGGACACACATAAGCCCCTTGCACACAGCATGTCCAAACCTGGTCTCATCATCATCCTGAGCCCTGGCAACCGCCTCCTTCCCACCACATCCTCAACCTTCATTCTATGCACTGGCCTCTTGCTCTGCTGCGGGCAGAGGCCTCATAATAGCCATTTTTAGTAGGTCTCATTATCACCATTTTACATTCAAGGGAACTGAGAATACCAGAGGCTAAGAAAATCACTCAAGTCTTAAATTCAAGTTCACTTGGACCATCCTCAACATTCAAACTCCAGTGTATCTGAACCCAAAGTCTGTGCTCTTGAGAACTATGTTAGTGAAAAACTAACATAGTTACAGCCACATGTGGTGTCTTAGAGAGACTCTTCTCTAAGAGAGCTTGGGATGATCTTTAGTAAATGAGATCCTTGTCCCAGTTGGCCAGGAAATGGATTGGGGAAGGTGGGAAGGGTGGAGGCTAGGAGTCTTATTGCTACATCTAGATGAGGGACAGGGGCTGAGGTCTCATTTAGACAAATCAAGCCTGAGATGTCTGTGGTCATGCAAGGTCTAAGGCCAGAGCCAGCTGGATGCCCTTGGACTCCAGCATGTCACACATGTGCCTAGATGTGAACTGGAGCCCCCCATTTTTCAGAGGTATTCTATCTAGGCTAGGCATCTAGAGATTAGGAACTTTGGTTACCTGGGAATGTGGCCAGTAAGACACAGGAAGTCAGGAGCATCACCTGAGTTTTCAAACTGTGTCTGGCACCCTCCTCTGAGTTCTTTTATTGTCTCTAGCCTCTGGTAGTCTCAGTTCCCTTGAATGTAAAATGGTGATGATAATGAAGACATTGAAGGCAGATGTTTGCGGATTCGGGTCCTAGGAGGTAGGAAACAGAGTTTGTGCTCTGCAGAGTTTTCTGGAGAAGCCCCGGAGGAAGAGAGCAAGATCTAGGTGAGAGCAGTTGCAGGGAGAGCTTGACTGACTTTGAGGGAGACCCCTGTTGGATTATCCAGTGTGACTTGAGTTATTAATAATCTTTTTTCACATTCATTGTGTTTGCTGCATGCC